TCCTCTTTCTCTTCCAACTACCCTACACATCCCACCTCCTTCTTTTCCTCAACCTTCGGATGCAGTTTGGGGGTACTAGCCGACCACCTTCTCTTCACAAAGAAAAAATTACATTATTTCTCTGTAACATATTAATACACCAAATTTTATATACCTCTACCCCCTTCATCCCCTTCCCCCCTCCCGCCCCCCGGACTTCCCAGAACTGAATACAGGGATAAGCACATAACATCCCAAATCTAAATAAAGCTACCCAAACATAATACAATCAAATATTAACATACTTTAACTCTAATATGCAATAATAAACATAAATATAAAATATATATGTGTTCCTTTCTTGTTGATATCATTCAATGGAATCTCTTCTCCTGGGTGTCTGCAGAACAATGCACCAAGGAAAAAGCTACAATAGCCCCAGTTCTAAGGGAGCCACCATGTGCTTTCTATCTGTGCCATGCATCAGGACAGCAGACCGTGCTCTCCTTCACATGATACTGCTCCCAGATAGATTAAAGTGGAGAGGGGAGAAAACCTGATGTGAGCGAAAGGATTCAGAAGCTTTTATATAGTTTGAAATTCTTCTAAAAAACCTGCAATCCCTGAAATTTGACTGCACCCCAAGAGCAGATAGCTTCCCCCCCCAAAGGTACCTCAACAATGCCGTGACTGATGGTCCCATATGGCTTTCGGCGAACCATCAGGAGGCTGATGATAATCACCATGGCAACAGCCACTGCTACGATGAGGAGGCCAATCAGGGCCCCTCGGTTGATGGTTACCAAGGTGTCAGGCTCCTGTGGAAAAACAGAGTCAGTGTGATTTTAGGACAATCTTCATGTTTGCTAAAAAAGACACCTTGTTTCTACAGTGGTGAAGGATGATGGAAGAAAAGACTTCCTCCAGACTTTTGACAAAAGACACACATGCAGTAATTAGAATTATTGCTTTTCCAACCCGCTGGAATGGATGCTCCACCTGTTTAAACACCGCCAGAGATATTAAGAAATGAAATCTGAGTTCAAAACCCAATGCAGAGATTAAAGAATTTTGCCCAATGACATCATACAGATTGTCTAAATCAGGGATGTCCAACCTTGGCAACTTTATTGTGGACTTCAGCTCCCAGAATTCCCCAGCCAGCTAGGTGTCTAAACATCTGCAACTAAATACATTTGGCAGATAATTCAGTTTTCCCCCCCAACGTTTGCCTTGGTAACAAAATATTGCTTCTGGAGCACAAGATGGGGGTGCAATGGGGTGGGGTGAACTGGTACTATAATATTACGAGAAGATGTCTGGATCCCTTGAAAGAAATAAAAGAACAGATGTGTGCTTATGGCTAGAGTGTTCAATCAACCGCAAAAGAGCCACACAGGCGGATTTACTGACAGATTGGGTTATCTGAAGCTGAAAGTGGTTACAAAATGAGGTTTAAGAGAAAAGCTATGTTAAAAAAAAAAAAAAGAGAAGACCTACTTCTCGTTCAGATGAAGTTACCGAGACGGTATTAAAAAGACGAATTTGGGTCTCAAATCTTGTCACTATCGCTTGGAAAATCTCTGCCTCACAGGGTTTTGACCAGGGCGGGGACGGGGAGGGGGTAGGGGGTGGGGCGGACGGGCGTCCCGGTGAGTGACGGAGGTCCCGGGTAGGCAGATCGCCCAGGCAGCCCAGCAGCGCTATGGCGGTCACGCCCTCTGCCCGTACCCTTCAGCATCAACTGTGCATGATGGGGTGTGAGGCAGAGTCTTGTGTACGCTGCCTGGCTGCCATGTCCTTGGCTGCGCTGCTCCGGGTGGGCCACGCTCAGGGTCGACTCTCCTTCAGGGGGGCTGCTGGAAAGGAGGGGGTCGTGGGGGGAGGCGAGGCTGGGGCAACTTCACATGTGCCCACAGAGAGGGCTCCGAGTGCCGCCTCTGGCACCCGTGCCATAGGTTTGCCACCACTGGTTTAGAATATCAAGACAGAACCATCTTTCTCCCATGCCAGTTTATTAATAACTGCTGGATGGAATTATTCATCACACCTTGCCAGTAATATAGATGTGATGAATAATTCCATTCATTTAGTGACCGCTTAAAGTTACAACTGCAGCCTTCGCTGCGTGTTTGTGGGACTATCAGTAAAAAAAAAAAGTTCCATCAGACTTTCTAACTTCTCGCGAGATCTCGTGAGTCCCACAAACACGCGGCGAAGGCTGAGAAGCGAACGGAGAAATGGAATGCAGCTGAAAGGCAGGTTAGTAAAAAAACACTTGGGGGAGGCGAGGGCATCTGGGCGGGGGTGAGCCCAGCAACCTTACCCTGCGCGACTTTGGCAGGTGTCTGGCAGGGGGAGGGAAGCAACTGGTTTACCATCATGCTACCGCTGCCGTGTTGCTTCTCTACCCCATGCACAGGCCCCGCCCCACCCCTTGCATGGAGCGCCCTGCTCCCGCTGTTCCCCCCACCCCCACGTGGCACCTTCTTTCCAGCTCCGACGCATCACTTCCTCTGCTGCTGTGTAGGATTAAAAATAAAGTTCAGTCAATCAATTCCAACTTTGTGAGATCTTTTTTTTCCCCGCAACAAGTTGAAATTGATTGATTGATTGAACTTTTTTTTTTTTGCACACGGCAGCAGAGGCCTAAAGCGAAAAGGTTTTATAAAACCCAGCTTAAAAAGCCACTTGCATGGGGAGATTTTGATGCATGTTACTCATGGACGGGACTTAAAGCCTTGGACTGGGGCGACGGCGCGTGTGCCCACAGAGAGGGCTCTGCGTGCCACCTGTGGCACGTGTGCCATAGGTTCGCCACCTCAGCCCTATTTTGTCAGCTTTTACCTGTTTGCTCCTTATTTTTTTTTTTTCATCTGGTGGTATTAAATTGCATGCATTTGAATTGTTATTACAAACTGCCTGGAGGAACTGAATGCAACTGTATACGTGTGCTAAAATGAAAAAAAAGAAGAAAGAAACTGGTTTTATATTGGGTGGAGGCCACATGCTGAGATTGCACTTAATCTTTGGAGAAAGGGGATGTGGGAATTTCTTTCAAACTCCCAGGAATTCTACAATTTCAGTTTTGGGCGGTCTGATTTGCTTCTACTACTTCTAAGTGTAGTAACAAGACTACCATGTCCATTAAGGCTAGAAAAGAAGAGAGGAAAAGTTATAAAGTGGGTTTCTTCAATCTGGTAACTTTCAGATATTCCAACCTCATAATGTCAGCCAACATGGTCACTGCCTGTGGGGACCAGGAGTCAAAGTCCAGGAAAATATGAGGTACAGAATGCTTTAGAGCAGGGGTCTTCAAACCTGGCCCTTTTATAACTTGTGGACTTCAACTCCCAGAATTCCTCAGCCAGCATTCTGGGAGTTGAAATCCACAAGTCATAAAAGGGCCAAGTTCGAAGACCCCTGCTTTAGAGGCTTTGGAGAATCCATAAAGATTAATCACCAGGGAACGGAGTAAGTTATTCTAAACCAGTGTTTCTCAACCTTGGCAGGGGAATTCTGGGAGTTGAAGTCCACACATCTTCAAACTGCCAAGGTTCAGAAACACTGCTCTAAAATATAGAATGTCTTTTGTCTATAGTAGTGTTTCTCAACCTGGGCAACCTTAAGATGTGTGGACTTCAATTCCCAGAATTGAATTCTGGGACCTGAAGTCCACACACCTTAAAGTTGCTGAAGTCGAGAAATATTGATCTGTAGCAAAGGTAGGCAGCCTGTTTGGGCCCCGGCCTGCCTAGGCTGCAGGAACCCAGCATCCATCTCCCCTTCTTAACCCCCTTTGGAGTTTTCTTCTTCAAAATGATGCTGTGGATGTGTTAAAGTTCTCCAAGACCCAAGGCCAGGGGTAGGCAACCTTGGCTCTTTTATGACTCATGGACTTCATGGCTGGTTCAGGAATTCTGGGAGTTGAAGTCCATGAGTCATAAAAGAGCCAAGGTTGCCTACCCCTGCCCAAGGCACTAATTTTGCTCTGAAGATGCCAACTCCACAATAAATTAAACAGAAATGGGATATTTCAACCTTACTGAATCCTAGATTCAGCTGGCTTTATTCTATAATCCTTGTTACAGAGATACAGTTCACTATTGCTGTCTTACCAATATTTACCCTGGTATGTTTCTATCAACGTGGAGAAATTGCTACTTTACAGAAGCAGTTTGCCTCGCTTTTAATCTGCTTCTCAACCATCTGAATTCTGAAATGACTACGGTTTGCTTGCTACCTCAGCTCTCACCTGCGACAAGAACTTATGATTTATTCATAAAGCTGAGGTCAGCATAAAGCCTGAGGAATCTGTGCACAAAAGGCACTGCTTATTTTTAAGGAGAAAGGGATTAGCAACTATTACGACAAGCATTGCCAAGTTCAGGAGTAATTGAAATAAGCTTTTGATCCCTGCAGCATTTGTTAAATATTCACAGCAGATAGAGAACTGGATTTCTTCTTACGCCCCAGGACACTGTTACAAACAATCTGCCTTCATCTGTTCAGTTGTGTACGATTTTCAGAGACTTTAGAGATTACAAATAATGCTTACGTTAATATTTCCACTTGGGGCATCTGTAATTCAGATGTAAAATGCTGCGTGGGTCTGAAGGAGCTCTAAAAACACTGTTTTTCATGCCGATTTGTTGTATTTGGCATTTTAGCTTGTTGAAAACAACTTCCAATCTCACAAACACTCAACCAAAGTACCAAAGCTTGCAGTGTGTTGCCTCTCTGGATTTTGCAGAGAACAAAGCTGTGATTATAGCTTCTAATGTTTGTTTTTCATAGAGAGAAGTGGTTTCTACCTCTTATTTCGTCTCCCAACTCCCTATTATTCTTATAGGTCCATAAATCAGAGAAAATACTTATTCTTCTGACACCATTAAAAGAAAACCATAAGCAACGAAGTGGAATGGGATATGAAGCAGAGATGACCTCAGGCATGGAAAGAATGATGATTTTTTTTTTTTAAAAAAAAGATGAAATCTCCCTAGGATAAATTTTCTTTTGGAGGGAATTTTGAGATGCAAACCAGTCTCCTCTACTTCCTGTTGAATAATCCAATGCCAGTGATTATTGGGGAGAAAAGAAGCTGAATTAATAATCAACCACCAGAAGACGGAGGCCAAGTATAGTAAGTTTTATGTTACAACAGATGTATGCAGGGCACAGAGTCAACTGACACCAGTGGGGATCTGGAATTAAACATGCAACTGAGGGAATAGTAAAGATATTAGACAAAGCACACATAACAATTTGATGAGGCAAAGATCACCATTTTTTTTCACAGAGGAAGCCCTGTTTTGAATCCCAGAGAAGGAAAGATGATCTGTACAAAACGTGATTTCAAGAATCAGTCCCTGATAAATAAGAGACAATAATGAAAAGGCTAATGGGCAGCAAGATGTACTTATTTCCTTGGGCTCAAATGAAGAACTCGACATCTATGGGAGAGGTCCATGACTTTCTATAGGGATGGGCCATATTTTGTTACTACTGTCTGGTCCACATGTATATGTATATAGTATGTCTAGTCTAGAGAAAAGAAGGACTAGGGGTGACATAATAGCAATGTTCCAATATTTGAGGGGCTTCCACAAAGAAGAGGGGGTCAACTTATTCTCTAAAAAAGCACCAGAAGGCAAGACATGAAGCAATGGATGGAAACTAATTAAGGAGAGAACTAACCTAGAACTAAGGAAAAAAATCCTGACAATGACAACAATAAACCAATGAAACGGTTTGCCTTCAGAAGTTGTGGGTGCTCCATCACTGAAGGCTTTTAAGAAGAGACTGAACAGCCATTTGT